TTATTAAAAAAAAAAAAAAAAGACAGACCATAGTTGCGGACACTGCATCCAGTCATCTCATGGAGGGTCTCCTTCCGTGACTCTCCACCTTTTCAAGAACGAGGCCCCTTTGTTTCCAGAGACTAGCAGGTCCTGTTAACATGGTCAAAGTATGAAAAGCAAAGATACCACCATTCTTGCTTCCTTTTTTTTAAAAAAAAAATAATATTATTAAACTGCAAGTTCAGAGGTGCACAATTCAAATCCACCAGATGCTTTGCTCGAGAAGGAGGAACAATGTCCTCCTGTACCAGTCAGATCTGATTTGACGGGACACACAAAAAATAATGAAATTAAAAAAAAATATTATTAATTTCAATGAAAATTTACAGAGACTTTGGATTTCCATTCATTCATTGTTGCACTTTTCTCCCTGCCCTCCTGTCCCCCCAATACACTTTCCTCTTTGAAAAGTAAAAGAAAAATTCTTTCATTGCTTTACAATCTCCCCTCCCCACCCCCACCCCCCCACAGGGCCACTCCACTATGCAGCCTTCGCTCTGGACTCCTGTCATGACAAAATATCTAATAACATATCCCTTTTAAACGGTTTTCTCCCTCATCTGTTTCAATATAATACATTATTGAACCCATCTTTCTCAGTCTCCCCCCAACCCCGAGATCAGTCCTATTTTATAGCAGTGGAACTATCCACTATTTGTCCTTTTGTGACTGAGATATTTCACTCAGCATAATGCCCTCCAGGGTCACCTATTTTGAATAATATTGCATGAGTTCCTTGTTTTTCAATGCCGCGTAGTATTCCATTGTGTGAATATACCACAGCTTCTCTATCCATTCATTTGTTGATGGGCACTTGGGTTGTTTCCAACCCCTTGCTATTGTGAACAAAGCCACGATGAACATGGGTGTGCATCATTCTTGCTTCTAAGGAGCACCCTGGTTGCACTTCTTCCAAGTCTTTGGACAATGCGTGGTATCTTCAAAATTGTCTACCAGAACCTCCACTCAACAGCATCAATTATTCGTCCATCTTCCTTACTCATTGATCAGCTCTCAGATGCATGTGAAGTAATTAAAAATACTATGGATTGCATCAAGTGTTCCTGTAAAGTGACATCTTGCTCTTTATTACTTAAGGAGGTGTTTATAGTAGCAGATTTGCCCCATGAAATACATCATTGGATTTCTTTTTAAATTTTATTTTATTATTTTTTCTGTGTGTACCAAATCAGATCTGACTGGTACAGGAGGAGATTGTCCCTCCTTCTCCAACAGAGCATCTGGTGGATTCTAACCGTGTACCTCTGGGATTGCAGTGCAGCTTCTTGCCATTAGGCCACCAGCGCTCCCTTACATCATTGGATTTCTTCACTGCTTAGTCCACTGTGGGTATTGATTGTGGAGTCAAGGAAAATGAAATCCTTGACAAAATCAGGCTTTTCCCCACCTGTCATGATGACACTAGAAGCAGGTCACAGCAGCAGGTGCTGTTAAGTTGTGATGTTTCTCAGAGTCCCACTGATGGCAGCATCTTGGCTGTGAGATGGAACTAATTCATATGTGTCAGTCCTGATGGGATTGGCTCAGGATTGGGTCAGATGGACCTAAAGGACAGTTGTTGTTGTTAGGTGCCATTGAGTCAAGCATAGCGACCCTATGAACAATAGATCTGAACCCTGTCCTGTCCTGTGCCGTCCTCACACTTCCTAATACACTAGAGGCCATTGTGACAGTCACTGTGTCAATCCGTCTGGGTGAAGGTCTTTCTCTCCTTCACCAACCCTCTGCCTTTCCAAGCATGTTGTTTATTTCTAAGGAATAGACCCTCCTGGCAACATGCCCGAAGTATGTGAGGTGAAGCTTTATCATCTTTGCCTCTGAAGATCACTCTGGCTGCACCTTTTCCAATATCTTTGTTTGTTCCTCTGGCAGTCCATAAGATGTTCAGTATTCTTCTCCAATATCACAGCTCAAAGGATTCATTGTTCAGCTCTCAGATGCATAACAAGTGATGGGAAAGACCATGGCCTGAATAACATTAGTCCTCAAACTGACACCATTACTTCTTAATTATTCGGAGAAGTAGAAAAAACCATTTTATGCCATTGCCGTCATTGACAGACACAATTTCTGATTATTTGGGTTAGAACTTAGGGAGTTCTGTGTAGTGGAGGGAGTATAAAAGGTTGAGTGAGATCAAAACATATGGACCCTCTTTCTCTCTGGGATGGGATATTCCACAACTTTAAGACAGAGCCTATCTTCACTGGTTCACTTTTCCCCTTACCACTTTGTTTTGAGAATTAAATGAAATAGGAGAAGATTTTTGGAAATCTTATTAAAATATATAATCTACTCATAAGGTTACTATATAGTAAAGCTAAAAAGGTCACAATTCCCTTATCTTGTTTGACTGTTTCATCCATTTGTCTTAAAATAGCAGGATCCTGGCGTGCCAGGCTTAGCTGATGTAATTTCTTTTCCTAGAGTGGACTTTGTTTTCTCTAAATAACCCCTCTCAGCACTTCCCTTCAGGCATTCTTGGCAGCAAACACCGAATACTCCAGACTTCTGTGCAGGAACCTGGCCAGAGAGTTCCATGTCTCCAGCAGATGTTTCTCCTGTTCTGGCCTGAAAAAGAAGGTTAGCTTAAGTCAGTGTCCAGGGGGCCCAGACCTAATCGACCTCTGCTCCTTAGATATACTTTTTACAAGTCAATACAAATGTAATGAAAAAGCAGAAGATGTGTGTGCTTGAGGAAAAAGAGTGGGCAATCGCGAGGCTCCAGCTGCAGGAGGCAGTACCGTGTGCCTGGTACTGCACAGCCCGGCCAGCAGACGGCCTGTGCTCACAGATGAATCCACACCAACTAAAGGCTTCATCTGAGTTCTAGAACGTGCTTGTGTAGACATGCAGAACATATTTTATATTTACAATAATTAACTTCAATATAGGCTAAACAAGGATTTACCTAATATTTGTTTGTTGTTGTTATGTTCCGTCGAGTTGCTTGCGACTCATAGCGACACTGTGTACAACAGCCCTAAACCCTGCTCTGTCCTGTGCCAATAGCACCGTCTCTGACACACCCATCCCGATTACCCCAGTCACTGAATCAATCCACCTCATATAAGGATGACTTTTTTTTACTTTTTAAAAAATTTTATTCTGATTTATTGACAAAGTTTGAATACATTGTTTTTCACAAGATCCTTCCCATTTCCTTCACCTCATCTGCCCATCGAATTATGCAGCCCTGTGATTGACACCCTACCCCTCCCACCCATCCACACCCCTCTAGTTCTTCCCCCTTCCATGTTCATTCTATGAAGGATGACTTTTTTAAAAAATTCTTTTTTGTTTTTATTGGTTTGCTTGCAAAGTTTGTATACATTGTGTTTTCACACATTCATATTGTGTTCCATACAGTAATTTTTTTTTGTTTTTATCTTATTAATTTTAATGAATGTTTACAGAGATTTTGGATTTCCATTCATTCATTGTTGCATTTTTCTCTCGAGGGATGACTTTTATAACTCCTAAAACTGTTGTTATAAAATATGAAAAGGCTATAGTAAAAAGGCAAATAGACTAAGACCAAGGTTATCATACTCTTGTCTAGCGCCCAGTGCTTGTTTTCAAATAAAGTTTTATTGGAACCAAGCAATGCCCATTCCTTTCTGCACTGTCTAGGCTGCTCTGGTGCTCTGTCAGCAGAGGTGGTTGGTTGCAGTAAAGGCCTAAGGGCCCCAAAAGCCTAAAACAGCCGTCATCTGTCTGGTCTTTTACAGAAAAAGGTTTTCTAATCTCTGAATTAGGAGAAGAGATAATCAAATTAAAATTACAACTAAGAAGGACTAAGAATTTTGGAATAAGCCTTTGGCATCTGCGATCATTTTGATTAATATTTTGCCATGTATATTGCTCTTCTGTTAACTCATGCATGCTCATTGAGTCTTTGGAAGAATCTGATGTATAAAAAAATATATCTGCTATTATGTACTGTATGAGATGACTATTTTTATATCTCAAAAATACTTGTTGTTGTGTGCCATTGAGTTGAAACTAACCCACAGCTGACCCTCCATTGGGTTTTCAGAAGCAGTTAATCATGTGGGAGGATGATGCCTGTCTTTTCCCTGTGCAACAGCTGGTGGATTTGAACCACTTACCTTTGTATTGCCAGCATAATTCCTTTCCACTAGCCCACCACAGCTCTCTACGTAAATGTTATCAATTTCAGTGTCTTGACTTGCTATTATGGACTGCTTTTTTTCCCATTCAATATGTTGATACTTTTAATATTTTTGGTAGGATATGACTAAATTCTTTATAACCAGATAATCAGAATAAGCAAGAGCTGCCTTTTTTTTTTTTTTGTAACCCAAATATATAATATAGTTTTTCTAGCAACTTAAGAGACAGATTTTTTTTCTTTCTTTCTCTGAAAAATTGATGATGCTTCTTGAGCCTTGGTTAATCCTTAATCTGTGGGGTAAAAGGTTGGAGTCTGTGCTGTGCTGTAGCCTTGTAGGCTCTGGTGGCAGATGTGATGACAATTAAGCATCCCAGTGTCAGCACCTTTTGGAGCCTGTGCCCTGTGGCCTCCAGGACCAACTTTTCCTTCAGGGTCACCATCTTCCCTCAAGAATAGCCTTGACTAACAGTTCCTCCTTAGTAGAAAGAGACCTCACTGTTCAGTCCCTGGTGTAGCCTTGAATCTATTCAATGTCAAAGTCAGGAAAGCAGGAGACTAGTGAGATGAGGACCCACTACGCTGATGCTGCTTATGTGCTTACTCACTTACTCACTCACTCATTCATTCACTCACTCATTCACTGACTCATTCATTCACTCATTCATTCATTCACTCACTCATTCATTCACTCACTCATTCATCCACTCACTCATTCATCCACTCACTCATTCATCCACTCACTCATTCATTCATTCACTCACTCACTCATTCATTCATTCACTCACTCATTCACTGACTCATTCATTCACTCATTCATTAATTCATTCATTCACTCATTCATTCATTCATTCATTCACTCATTCATTCACACACTCATTCATTCACTCACTCATTCATTCATTCATTCATTCATTCATTCACTCATTCACTCATTCATTCATTCACTCACTCACTCATTCATTCATTCACGCACTCATTCATTCACGCACTCATTCACTCACTCATTCATTCATTCACTCGCTCACTCACTCATTCATTCATTCATTCACTCACTCATTCGTTCATTCATTCACTCATTCATTCACTCACTCACTCATTCATTCACTCACTCATTCACTCACTCACTCATTCATTCACTCACTCACTCATTCATTCACTCACTCATTCATTCACTCAGTCACTCATTCACTCACTCATTCATTCACTCATTCAGTCACTCATTCATTCACTCATTCATTCACTCATTCACTCACTCACTCATTCATTCACTCACTCATTCATTCACTCATTCATTCACTCACTCACTCACTCACTCACTCATTCACCCACTCATTCATTCATTCATTCACTCACTCCTATTGAATTGGAACTGATTCATAGCTGATTTTTAGTGGGTGTTCAGATGCTGTAAATCACATGGATGGAGACTGTCCCATCTATCTCATGAGGAATGGTTGGTAGATTCAAACCACCTGCCTTAGCTTTGGCAGCGCAGCTCTTACCCACTAGGCCACCAGAGCTCCCTTGTGCACAATAACCTTTTGATCATAAATCTTTTTTGTCTACATTTAAGTAATCAAATTTCAAAAATTATTTCTAAAATGATTGAGAACAGTATTGAAGTAGTGTGTATGAATAATTTTAGTTGGAAACGCTTCAGGATCTTTCTCCTGACTTAAGGGGCAACATTCAGGGTTGGGTCCACTTTCCGTGTAACCTTTCCTACTGATTTGCAGTCCAGGCTGGAGCTGTTGGCCTGGACAAGGCATGGTGACGTTTTCAGGAGAGAAGTGGAGATGTGGCGTGACACTCTCACCTGTCCCCGCAGGAGCTCCAGGTGCACTGTGCAGAGGGCCAGGCCTTGCTGAATGCTGTGCTGCACACCCGAGAGGAGGTCATCCCCTCTGGCATCCCACAGACCGAGGACCGGGCGCTGGAGTCCCTGCGCCAGGACTGGCAGGCGTACCAGCAGAGGCTGTCGGAGACCCGGACCCAGTTCAATAACATCGTGAGCAAACTGAGGCTCATGGAGCAGAAGTTTGAGCAGGTCGATGAGTGGCTGACAGCGATGGAGGAGAAAGTGAGTGTGAAGGCTGTGTCCCAGTCCACCCGGGCCGCCAAGGAGATGCAGTTACACCAGATGAAGGTACATTTTCTCAAGACAATTGCTGCCTCTCATTGTCCGTTTCACTAAAATACTTAGAACTTTTTGTTCAAGGCTTAGAGTTCACGAAATCTCTCTGGTACCTAGAAATTTAGCATAAGTAGCAATAGAAGTTTTTAAGCAGTGCTACATCCCTGTACTTTCTAGAACCCTAAATTAGCTTTTGATACTGTTGTTGTTGTTGTTATGTGCTGTCAAGTCGCCTGTGACTCATAGCGACCCTATGTACAACAGCCCTAAACCTTGCTCTATCCTGTGCCAATCTCATTGCCTCTGACACACCCATCCCGATTACCCCAGTCACTGAATCAATCCACCTCATAGAGGGTCTTCCTCTCCTGTGCTGTCCCTCCACTCTCCCCAGCATGATGTCCCTCTCCAAGGACCTGTCTCTCCTTACAACATGTCCAAAGTATATCAGACAAAGCTTCAGAATCCTTGCCTCCAAGGAGCAGCCTGGTTTAACCCTCTCTAGGATGAAGTGTTTGGTATCACAGATGTCCATAAAGCTAGAGATATGAGCTATCAGATCAAGGGCTGGACAAGGAAAGATATGTGTTGAAGGGAGTGGGTGGGAGTGGATAGGGATGCTGGTGGATGATGGAGAGGGAAATAAATGGGTCAAAACACTTGTGCCAAGGGCAGGGACAACACTGAAACTAATGGTTAATTCCACAATTAGAGTAAGTATCTTTGATCTGCTTTTTCTGTAAAATGCTTGTCTGTCAGATATCTCTAAATCTGAGCATTCAGATTAAGACAGACTAGGAAGAAGGCTTGGCCATCCACTTCCAAAATAGCAGGCCTCTGAAAACCTTATGTACAGTTTTTGATATAGTATAGTTTAATGGGACTATTTTCTATTCTTTGCATATCCCCTTTCTGCACTTCTAACTGATGTGTAAGGATTATTATTTTGGTCATTTAAATTCTTAGATATTAAATCTTGATAAGAAATTTCTCTAATGTAGTATCTTTCGATGATACCTTACAGCTATTGTTATCATTTTCTTTCTGCGAGTCCAGTGCATACGACCTAAATAAAGCTTTGTTGTTGTTGTTATGTGCTGACGAGTGAAGTAAGAGTCTACAGTAGTGACTGTGTTCAACACATCTGAGTCCTGTCCTATCCTGTCCCACCCTCACAATTTCTGACATACTCAAGTCCATTGCCACAGTCACAAAATCAAAAAATAAAGCTTAAGCCTTTGAAATTTTTTTTTCTGGGATGTCAGGGAGATTTCTCTTTTATTTTGCAAGCATGCCAATACACTTATTGAAGTCAATGGACTGAGGTGGTTTTCTCCATGTCCGTTAACACTGACTACAGTAGAACTGAAGATTTAAAAAGATACACTGCATTTTAAGTATTTTCCAAACTGAGGTGTTTTCTCTCTCTCTCTCTCTCACCCCAAACAGAAACGTACCACTTCTATCAAGTTGTTGTGGTCCAGCTTTCTGTAAAGAGTTGTTGTTGTTATGTGCCGTCGAGTCGCCTGCGACTCATAGCGACCCTACTATGTACAACAGCCCTAAACTGCGCTCTGTCCTGTGCCAATAACACTGTCTCTGACACTCCCAACCCAATTATCCCAGTCACTGAATCAATCCACCTCATAGAGGGCCTTCCTCTCCTGCGCCGTCGTCCCTCCACCCTCCCAAGCATGATGTCCCTCTCCAAGAACCGGTCTCTCCTCACGACATGTCCAAAGTATGTTAGACGGAGCCTCAGAATCCTTGCCTCCAAGGAGCCACCCGGTTTAACCCTTTCCAGGACAAATCTGTTTGTTTTCCTAGCAGACCAGTCCATGGTATTCTCAATACTCTTCTCCAGCACCACAGCTCAAAGGCATCAATTCTCCTTCTATCCTCCTTGGTCGAGTATATACTATATAATTTGAAACTATGTCTCAGAATAAAAATTTTCTAGACTGCCACATTCAAGGTCATTGCTGTGGAGTTGGACCTGCCTCGTAGCTTGACCCTCCAGTGAATCCAAGGTTATAAATATCAATGGAGATTGCTTATCTCTCTCTTTCTCTCTCATAATTATTAGTGGATTTGAACCACCAGATAGACAGCCTTTGGGTTACCAGCACAAGCCCATACACCGCCAGAGTGCCCATTGCCCATTTCTTTTTTTTTTCCTGTTAAAACTAGGTAATCTCAATATCTCTCTCTCTCTCTTTTTCTCTCTCTCTCTTTCTCTCTCTCTCACACACACACACTCACACCCACACACATGTATTAGTCTTATGTAGTCTCTGTGTAGTGCAAAATGTTAATGCATTCAGTTGCTAACCAAATGTTCTTAGTTTACATTTACCCAAAGGTGCCTTGGAAGAAAGACCTGGTATACCCTTCTGAAAAAAAAACAAAAACAAAAAACAAACCAAAAAAACCCCCACAAAACAAAAACTTCTCCACAGTCCAAGGTCTCGACATCAGCTGGTTGGCTGGGCCTGGTTTTTCAAGAATGCCTCCAGGTGACTCTGTACCTGCATCTGCTTCCTTTTCAGAAGTGGCATGAAGAAATCGCAGCGCACAGGGATGAAGTGGAGGAGGTGGGGGCCCGGGCGCAGGAGATCCTGGACGAGAGCCACGTGAGCAGCAGAATGGGCTGCCAGGCCACCCAGCTCATGTCCAGATACCAGGCCCTCCTGCTCCAGGCACTGGTGAGTGACCCCGGCAGTCACCATGCCTCCTGGCAAAGAGCTGTGTGTGTCAGCAAAGACATGGGTCTCTCACTCGTACTTCACTCGTTGTTGTTTTTTATGTTTTGTTTTGTTTTTTAATTTCCTTCAAAGGAACAAATAAAATTCCTGGAGGAAGAGATCCAGAGTTTGGAGGAATCCGAATCATCCCTCAGTGCCTACACTGACTGGTACAGCTCCACGCATAAAAACTTCAAAAACGTGGCCACAAAAATTGACAAAGTAGACAAAGTTGTGATGGGGAAGAAAACGAAGATGCTGGAGGTAGGTTTGTTCCCTTCCTACACATCCTTACAAAGTCTCCTGTCCCCACACCTGTCCATTCTCCTTCACATGCATGTTCATCACAGACTGACAGGAGGTATTCTTCTTGTCTCTTTTAACACCATGCACTAACTTCTGAGTTCTTGAAGGCCAAAGATGATTTTTGTTTATTTGTGATGTCATGTTCACTGGGATGGCTTCCATATATATGACTGCTCATGAAACTTTTAATTCAATTACAGTTTTATTTTTTTTATTTCAAAGTAGTGTATTTTTTAATTGCTATTTTAATGAAAGTTTATAAAGAACTTGTGTTTCCAATGCTTCACTCACTGTTGCACATTTTCCTCCTTGCTCTCCCTCGCCCTACATCGCTTTTTTCTTTGGGAAAAAAAATTCTGTCATTTTTACACAGGTACTCTCCCCCACCCCCACCCCTGGCCACCCCAGAGCACTTTGCTATGCAGCTCTTATTCTGGACTCTTGTCTGCCAATAATACGTAATTATATATTCCTTTTATACAGTTCTCTCCTTCGTCTGTTTCATTGTCATGTACATTATTTATCCTCTCTTTTCTTAGTTTTCCTTCAACCCCTCTGCCAGTCCTATAAGAGTGGCATTATGCCATATTTGTCTTTTTATGACTGAAATATTTTGCTCAGCATAATGTCCTTCAGGGTAACCCATTTTGTATAATATTTGATGAGTTCTTTGTTTCTCAATGCAACATAGTATTCCTTTGTGTGACTATACCACAGCTTCTCTATCCATTCGTTTGTTGACGGGCACTTGGGTTGTTTCCACCTCTTTGCTATTGTGAACAAAGCAGCACTATACATGAGTGCGCATCAGTCTGATATTTTAACAGAAACTTTCATAACTCATTTCCATTGGGTAGGGATCCGCTCGCCGCTGACCCTCCAGTCAGTTTCCGAGGCTGTACGTCACATGGGAGGAGATGATCATCTCTCTGTCTCTCAGAGCTCCTGGCAGATTCGAACCCCCAGAGCGACTTGAGGACTCTGGGTTTGCAGCTCAACCCTCTCCGTATTATGTCACCAGATTCACTATTATGAGTTTAAAAAACCTGTCAAATTCATGTCCTAGCACCTCCTCCAAGAAGTGTAGCTTAGATCTTTAGGAACACTGCTAAAGATGAGAGAAACATCTTTTGCCTTTTTAAAGCCCTGATTTGGAAATGATAGTGTGATCAAGGATGATTAAAACCTGTATTTAAAAGCCAAATCTTTTGCTGCTGAATCAGTTCTAATTCATGAGAAGCCTGTGTGTTTCAGAGTCCAATTTAATAGCATTTTCTTGGCCATAATCTTTAGAGAAGCAGGTAGAAGGAAAGGAACATTAATTCCTGATTTTGGCAGGATAAATCTGGCAGGAGCATCAAACCTTAAAGATGCAATAGGTAGATTTGCAAACAAGATTGAGAAGTTGTTGGAGTTTTTCTAATTTATTTTTTCATTTTATTTGTGTGTGTGTGTGTGTATGTGTGTGTGTGTGTATCATCAATTTGGATCTGATTGGTACAGGAGGAGATTGCCCCTCCTTGTCCAGCAGAACATCTGGTGGATTCAAACCATATACCTCTGGGATTGCTGTGCAGCCTCTTGCCACTAGGCCACCAGAGCTTCCTTGAAGTTGGTTTTTATTAAAGAAGGGATTAAGAGTACCATTTTCTTTGCATATAATGCATGTAAATAATAACATGCTCTCATACAACAATAACAGAAGCTAATGGAGGAGAGGGTTGAAGGTTTGCACGAACTATATGATTTGTATGCTTTTACTAAGTGGTAACTCTAATTTGTTTCATATGCACTCACTTCTTCAGACTTTGCTCAAGGACATGGAGAAAGGCCACAGTTTGCTGAAGTCAGCCAGAGAGAAAGCAGAGAGGGCCCTGAGGTTCTTGGAGGAGGGCGAGGCAGAAGCATTGAGGAGAGTGATCCAGGATCACGTGGAGCGGCTGAAGGAACTGACCAGCAGTGTCCGGAAAGAGCACATGGCCCTGGAGAAAGGCCTTCACTTGGCCAAGGAATTCACAGACAAATATAAGGCACAAGCTCAGTGGCTGGCAGAATACCAGGAGATCCTCCACGCTCCCGAGGAAGCCAAGATGGAACTGTATGAGAAAAAAGCCCAGTTATCCAAGTACAAGGTAGTGTGTTCTGACCTGCTCATGGGCGTATGTGGGTGTCGGGTGGGGATACCTGGGAGTGGAGACAATTCTGGGTGTGTGTCACCACAGCAGCTGCTGCTGAAAACTCTTGGTCAATCTGCTGGTGGTGAATGATGTTGTCTCCTAGGAATGTAGATTATTTAGCTAGATACATTCCCTCTGTATTATCGTTTTATGCTGGTGTCATATTAAGGCGCCCTGGTGGCCTGGTGGTAAGGAGTTGCACTACCAACACAAAGACAAGTAGTTCAAATCCACCCTCAGCTCCATGAGGAATTTCTTCCCCTGTCATTTACAGCCTCTGAAAACCTGCTGGAGGATCAGCTATGAGTCAGTTCCGATTCTCAGTCAATGAGCAGCAACAACACTTATTTGGCTCCTATTCAAAGATATCAATGAATGGAGCTCTTCTCTGACAGTGTGATCCAGATACACAATTCCTCCCATTAAATATGCTTAGCTGCATGGTCTTGTGTCTTTAAATTTACTTACCTGCCAAGAGAAACTTACTTTCCCTTTGAGGTTTATAGGATATAACTTAAGTTGAACTAAAAAATAAATGCCTTTTTTCTGGAAGGCCCAAAGTCCTTTTTAACAAATGTAGCTAAATACCTTATAAATTAATTTTCAAAAGAATAGCCAGACAGATCTGCTTGATATGCCAGTGAACCAAATCTGTTGTCGCCAATCAGTTCCAACTCTTGGCTGACCCTCCAGTGAACGTAAACCACCTCTGAGACTGTAAATCTTTATTTTCTTTTGTTTTATTTGTGTGTGTGTGTGTGTGTGTGTGTACCGTCAAATGAGATCTCACTGGTACAGGAGAAGATTACCCCTTCTTCTCCAGCAGAGCATCTGGTGGATTCGAACCACATATCTCTGGGATTGCAGTGCAGCTTCTTGTCAGTAGGCCATCAGAGCTCCCCGAGACTGTAAATCTTAATGAGAAGAGACTACCTATCTTTCTCCTGCAGAGCCAGTCATGGATTAGAACTACTGGCCTTTGGGTTAGTGAGCATTTGCTACCAGGCTCCTTGAGGGGTGGTGTACAAGCTCTAAAAAGCCATTTGCCTCAGAATGCACCCCAACTCAGGGTAACCCGTATGTATCAGAGCATAAATGTGCTTCTGGTGTTTTTCTGGTCTCCTTTAGTGATAGATTGCCAGGCCTGTCTTCTGATACACTTCTGGGGATCTATGCACCAACTTCTGACCTCTGGGTGTGCAATGAATGTGCTAACCATTTCCACTGCCCAGGGACTTCATACATCATCTTGCAGCTTTGCGTATGTTCCAATTTTTCAATCATCTATGCTAACCTATGGAATAATTTCTGAATTAAATTTGATCTCAGAATAACATATCAATTATAAGAATTATAGGGAGCTCTGGTGGCCTAGTGGCAAGAAGCTGCACTGCAATCTGAGAGGTGGTGGTGGTGGTTGTTATTAAGTGCCCTCGAGTCGCAGGCGACTCATAGTGACCCATAAAGGAGAGTCCTTGACTCTTGGATGTCTCTCAACCTCTCTCCAGGTTCATAGGGTTTCCCGAGGCAAGCTATTACAGAAGTGGATGCCACTCCTCCTTCCACGCTTGTTTTAATCGGGGAGCTCCACCCCACTCTCTGTCCGCATTGGGTAATCCCAGAGGTACATGGTTCAAATCCACCAGATGCTCTGCTGCAGAAGGAGGGCAATCTCCTCCTGTACCAGTCAGATCTGATTTGAAGGTACACACAAAAAAAATTATTTTAAAAAGATTTTTTTTTTAAAAAAAGGAAAAAAAAGAATTATAGTGTGAAGAGAGCTCTGGTAGCCTAGTGGCTGGAAGCTGCACTACAATCCCAGAGGGGTGCGGTTCATATCCACCTGATGCTCTGTTGGAGAAGGAAGAACAATCTCCTCCTCTTCCTATATCAGTCAGATCTAATTTGATGGTACACACACACACAAATAATAAAATAAATTTTAAAAGAATTATAGTGTGGCTTACCTCAAAGCTTTTTCTAAGAGACAAAGTGTCTGTCTCTTCCTGTTTAAACTTTAGTGCCAAGTCAGACAGCTTGTAGGGGCCAGGAAAGAGCCAAGGCCTTTACTTCCCCACCTCTGGTCCGCCCTAAACTGCACTCTTAATATTTAAAGAACCTGCTAGTGGGGAGCTCTGGTGGCCTAATCGCAAGAAGCTGCACTGCAATCCCAGAGATATGTGGTTCGAATCCACCAGATGCTCTGCGGGAGAAGGAGGGGCCATCTCCTCCTGTACCAGTCAGGTCCTATTTGACGGTACACACACACACACAAAATAATAATTTTTTTTTAATAAAAGAACCTGTTAGCCTGGCACAAAGTTGCAATTGTAATTTGTCTCCCAACTTCATCTCCAGCTTTAACTAATTTAATATACTCAAACCCAAAATGTGAGGGTCTGGCTCCCACCAAAATGCTTCCTCTGCTGGGTGGGGCCTGAACTAGGAGGAGGATCTCTGTCCAAGGTCAGCAGGAAGTAGCCTGACTTCGCAACCATCAAATTCCCTCAAGAATCAGGGCTGAAGCCCTCTTGGGGGGAATGTGAAGGGATAGAATTGCTACCTGGTAGGTCCCCATCTCTCTCCCTCTCACTCCCATAGTAGAGGACTAAAAACAGTTTTCTCTGAGGAAATCGGAAGGGAAGTCAAGTTCAAATGCATCAAGGTGAAGAAGCACCTTCCTTCGGAATGCAGGGAAGCCCTCATGAGTGTGTGAAGTTTGATGGTGGTGGTAGTTGCCAAAGAGTCAGCTCTATTTCATGTGTGTCTCTGTCTCTATGTACCTATATATGTGTTTTTAAACAATTGTATCATTCCGGGTTCGACACCATCCTCATCACCTTTGGTGTGTTTGGACTCCTCTTCTAAAACTGTTCGCCAATGGTCCATCAGGCTTTCACTGACAGATTTTCAAAAACAATCACCAGGCCTTTGTTCCTGGTCTACCTTAGTCTGGAAGCTCTGTGGTAATCTGCCTGCCAGGGAAAGGTGGAATCTGAAATAGCAGCTGGCAAGGCTTCCAACATTACAGCAGCGTGCAAACCACCCCAGGGCGACAGCCTGGTAGGATAGGTGGGTGGTGGGTGTTCAGTTTACGGAATTACCTTCTTTCCTTCTCTCTCCGTGTCAAAGGACCAATTGAGGTGCCGCTCTTCTTTGAAATTCTAAACTCTACAAACACCAGCAACTCATTCGTTGATCTTTTCACTTATAAAATATCTAAGATGTTTATTTGCCATGGGCCAGGTCTTGGAGATGCATGGGTGTGTGGATCTAGTCACCTTTTTATTTTAACTTTTAAAACTGTGATTTGAGTGAATGTTCATACTACATATTGTTTTCGTTTTCAATCAATTATTCATGCTTTGTTCCATAACATCGGTTCCAATATACACAGAGTTCTTGTCATCCATTCATTCCACATGATCTTGTCCTTCATCCGTCTTGATTGGCGTTTATTGCCTAGTAACTAATTTTCTGCTTCCCCAGCCCCTTTCCTCCTGGACAATCATATCAGAATAATTCTTTCTGTATGTAAACCTTCCTTTATCTTCTTGATGCAATGGTCCTGTATAGTGTGTGTTTGTTCTTTTGTGACCTGAGTGCCGAGATGACCTGGGTCTTTTTCTTCCTCTGTGTAATTCAAGTCACTGCAGCAAATGGTGCTTTCCCATGAGCCCTCAGTCACCTCGGTGCGGGAGAAAGGCGACGCCCTTCTGGAACTCGTGCAGGACGAGACTCTGAAAGACCAGCTGGAGAGACTGCAGGCTGACTACCAGGACCTGTGCAGGGCAGGAAAGGTGAGGCGGTCAGCCCTGAGGGCAGAGCTGTTCATTTGTTTACCAAAAAATGGGCCCCTACCTCCTTTCTCTTTACCAGTGCTTGCAAGAGAGCCTCTGGTAACCTCCACAGCAGAGAGTTGCTCTACCAACCCAAAGGCAGCTGGTTTGAAACCAGGAGCTGCTCTGATGGAGAAGATAGGCACCCTCCTCCTGGAGAATTGATAGCCTCTGAAAACCTGTATGCTCAGCTATGAGTCTGTTCTGACTTGGTGACAATGAGTTCTTTTGTATTTTTTTAATGGACCCTCTCCCCCTTTACTCAGATGGACATTTTTTAAAACTTTTTTTTGCTTGTATACAAAATTCATGTACATTATGTTTCATACAGTCTTCCATTTAGTGTCTTTCTTACAATCATTCCAATTCATTGTGTTTCATAAAATTAATCACCATTGAGCTATGTCCATGACCCTGTCTTTTCAGATCCCGTCTGTGTTTTCCATTTCTTTTACCCCCTTCCCTTCATCCACCAAATTGTGCAACACTGTGATTTCCCCCTTGCCCATCCTCACCCCTCTGCTCCCAGCCTTTCCCATCTTGAGTCCCCGTACACGTTTTACTAATTACCCTTGTATTTTTTTTATTTTAAAAAGTCTTTGTGTTTCTTTTTTAAAAAAATTAATTTTAATGTAAGTTTACAGAGACTTTGGATTCCCAGTCATTCATTCTTGCACTTTCTCCCTCCCTACCCTGCTCCCCCCAATTCACTCTTCTCCTTGAAAAGTAAAAGAAAAACTCTTTTCATTGGTATGCAACCCTTCCCCCAAGTCCACTCCACTCTGCGGCCTTCACTCTGGACTTCTGTAAAGACAAGAATACCCATTCATATGTCCCTTTTAAACAGTTCTCTCCCTCATCCGTTTCAATGCAATATACATCATTCCTCCCCTCCTTTTCTGTCTTCACTGTTGTAAAATGAGACTGACATCAGGGTTGAGGGAAGACAGAAAAGGAGCGGAGGAATGATGTATATCCTTCTATTTTTATAATGATGTTCAGACAAGGAGCTCTGGTGGCCTAGTGGCAAGAAGCTGCGCTGCAATCCTAGAGGTGTGTGGTTCAAGTCCACCAGGTGCTCTGCTGGAGAAGGAGGGGCAATCTCCTCCTGTACCAGTCAGATCCAATTTGACGGCACACACAAAAATTATAATAAAATAATAATGAAAAATATTTTAAGTGGCAGGGAATGACTTAGATTTCTAATGTTTCCTGTTCCTCATCATTTTCTGATGTAAGTATCTCTGCATGTGCTGTGGGTTATTCCAGACATTTTTGCATTGAAAGCCGTGGTGGGAGGGTATTTGTCTGGAAGTCACCGCTGATGGGCCCTCCTCCCGCAGGAGCACGTCTCCAGCCTTGAGAACAAAGTCCGAGACCACGAAGACTACAATGGGGAGCTGCAGGAGGTGGAAAAGTGGCTGTTACAGATGTCTGGCCGGCTGGTGGCCCCTGACCTGGTGGAGACAAGCAGCTTGGAGACAGTGACCCAGCAGCTGGCCCACCACAAGGTACCACTCATCTCACCAGGGACTTCTGGTTACTGTCGAGCCAGCCTTGGCTCCTGTAGACTTTGTTCACAACAGAACCCACGGTGTGTGGTCTTGTGCCGTTTTCACAATCATCACGGCCATGTGTATTTTGAATCTGTCCTTCCATCCAGGGAGGATTCATTCTTGGATTTGTATCAGACACTGTTTTGAAATGATGCGTGGAATTTTTAGGAGCTAAGTGTCAGAAGTAATGTGTTCCACTGAAACCTGTCCATCATGGGCAGCCCTGCTGCTACTTAGAATACCGGTGTTGTATCTTCCAGCATCATTGCAACACACAAGCCGCTACAGCACAACACGCAGGCAGATGGACAGTAGGGTTATACATGATCATCGTTAGGTTCTCCTGACACAAGACACGTGCACAGAGTAGAACTCCTTAGGCCTTTAAGAAGCAGATCTCCAGGCCTGTGCTTCAGGTTACCCCTAGGTGGGTTCGAAAGGCCAACCTCATGGCTAGTAGCCAAGATCCTCATGTTTGTGCTATCAGGGACACCAGAAATATAAGTTACATAAGGATACATAAATATCAAAATTATCCATTACCTTTTAGATTATTAAATGGTAATTAAATTATAATTATATTATCTTGGTTATAAATTATAACAGAATTGAGATTTAAAGAGCTCAAGATGTATGTTACTACTATTGTTGATTGCCTTCGAGTTAAGCATGACTCATAGCGACCCTCTGACCAAAGACCTGAAGGCCCTCTACAACAATTGACATTTATCAAAGTTCAAGAGTTTTCTGGAAGCATGCTGTTTAGGAAGTGGATGCCACTCCTGCTTCCAAAGAAAATATATAGGCTTGCTTTTCTCTGATAATACCATCATAGAATAGGAATTGCTGTAGCTGTGATCAATCCTGGGTGTACACCAGTCTTGAAGATTACATCGTCATTCTCCATGTCATTTAATCCCTTAAACTCATTCATTCCATGATAGCGCCATCTGTGCCCTGAGAACACCCAGTTGCTTGCTTTTAATTTTTCACTTCCTGATCTGCAATAGAGACAGGCTGAAAAACTCTTATAAAAATTAGAAAGTTATTGAACAGTGAAATCGTCTATCTTAAACACTCTTTTTGATGATGAGGGTTGCTATGAGTTTTAGAATGAAAGAGGGGCTTCTGAGAGCCTGGTCTTTGTCTTATTTTCTTTCCTTTTAATAAAATTTTTATTAAATTTTATTAATTTTAATGAACATTTACAGAGATATTGGATTTCCATTCATTCATTGTTGCACTATTTTCTCTACCCCATCCCAGTTCGTTCCTCTTTTTTTTCCCCCCTTGAAACTCTGTTTTAATTGTCCTATTGCCACAGTGCTTGTCAAAGCCAGTTCTGATTAATCTCCTTTGTCAGTGTGTCCTTTGCCATTCCCTATCACTCCTCCCTGAGAGAGACTTCACCCTGATTCATAAGGAAAAGGGGATGGTGTACTCTCTTAGCTACTTCCTGCTGAAAAGGGATGCTGTAGGTTTCAGGGTGAAGATCTTCTCTCACTACTCTAAAGGGCCCCTTTGGCAGTAGGAAATACGTAGACTATTGTGGAGATTGATTTTGGAATTTATCAGTTGTGCTTAGCCACACATGTTCATATCCTTGAAGATGAATCATGGAACTGTTGCAGCCTAGAAGACACAAATTTAACTAACAAGTTAAAAGTACATGAGTCAAAAGCTAAAAGCAATAATATTCCAAGTAGAGGTTCTAACAGTGGCACAAATCAAGTTAAAGAGTTTGTCTCATTTTCTTAGGCAATGATGGAAGAAATCGCTGGCTTTGAAGACCGATTGAATAACCTTAAAGCCAAAGGTGACAGTCTGATCGGACAGTGTGCAGACCACCTGCAAGCGAAACTGAAGCAGAGTGTCCATGGTCACCTGCAGGGCACCAAGGACAGCTACTCCGCGATCTGCAGTACAGCTCAGAGGGTGAGCACCCCACTTTGTGGAAAGATGGCTTCTTGTTGAAGAAGCCTCTGGAATCCAGAGACATTCAAAAGAGACTTGAGGCTTGCATCTTTGCGAACATGTTTGCATCCTGACAAATAGAGGAGGAGAGACCTCACAATGTCAATGTGAACATAAAAGGCTGTGTCCAGTCGAAGGATTTACCAAGTTCTGAATTGTCAGCGTTCAATTGTACCCAACCCCTTGATCCCATGAACTGATGGCAGAACTGAGTGAAATTCACAGGTGGTTCTGTTTTCATTTGCACACCAGGAATAGTTCCTTTTAATTTGTCATCTATTTCCCAACATCAAAATTAAGTTTATTCTGTTATTTTCACAAAATTATTTCCTTATTTAATTCTGTGAATCCTGGGCTCTAATTTTGCATTTTCATATATTCATATAGAAACTGAGGATTTGTTATGTTAATGAGCAGAATTAGGCAAGGTCTGGTGGCCTAGTGGCAAGAAGCTGCACTGCAATCCCAGAGGTGAGCGGTTCGAATCCACCAGATGCTCTGCTGGAGAAGGAGGGACAGTCTCCTCCTGTACCTGTCAGATCCAATTTGATGGTACACACACTAATAATAAGAAGAAGAATAAGAATAAGAATAAGAAAATGAGCATAATTAGTGCACACAGAACAAAGCTCAGCATAGCCAGTGTATCACCCCATCTCACGTCTTCCTCTGCTTTATAAGCATGATGTCCTTCTCCAAACCTAGTTTCTTTCAAGGGTGATGTACGTAAGATGATGTCACATTGTCCTGGTCCCTAAGGAGCATTTTGGCTGCAGTGCTTCCAAGAAGAACCTCTGGCAATCCATGGAGTGTGTGTGGGAAGGGACCGCTTCAGTGCCTGGGTCCGGGACCCATTGTTCTCTTAGGAGATGTGAGGAGCTCTGACAAGCTGCCGTGATTGCTTGGTCGTAGGTGTACCAGAGTCTGGAGCATGAGCTGAAGAAGCATGTGAGCCGACAGGACACCCTGCAGCAGTGCCAGGCCTGGCTGTCTGCAGTCCAGCCCGACTTAAAGCCGAGCCCTCAGCCCCCGCTGAGCCGGGCCGAAGCCGTGAAGCAGGTATGAGATTCCCCACAGTTACGTTAAACCTGTGCTTCCTGCAGAAATGCCCCAGCTGGAGCCACATCACTTGAGAAGCAGCTGCTTCCCCTCGTGATCTAGCCCCTTATCTTTTTCCTTTTACATTTCTGACATTTACCACTACCAGATATTGGAAGACATATGTTTGTGCATTTATTTACTGAACTGTCTCATAAGACATGAAGCTCAAGTGAGGCTCTTGTTTTGTAAGTTATTTTCTATGTGAAACCTACAGTGGAGGCTGCAGAGACTTGGAGCATCTTCAGAGAAGCATGTGTCCCTCACCTTTGTATTAGTGATCCACCTGGGCATGCCTGTCCAGGGCATGCAAGTTCAAGTACAGCTCTCTATGAACTTGGTGTAGAGAAGAGGCCTCAGCCATCTGGTTGCATATGGCTATAGATTGACTGTAGCAGTTTCTTCCTCTATTCTGGGACCTGGTGGCTCAGTATCTAGGAAGCTGCACTGCTAATGCAAAGATGGTTCCTCTCTGCCAAGTTCAAATCCCCCAGTGACTCTGCAAAAAAAGACTAGGCAATCTCCCATGTCATTCATAGCCTTAGAAATTCAAGGAAGGGTCACTTATGAGTTGGTTCAGACTCAAGAGCAGTGGGCTGTTTTTGAGATGTTTAGTTGCAATGAGAAGTAGATGGTGAACATAGGAACGTCTACCTGGAGCTTTGAGTTCATTCCTAAGCCACGTGCATCTGGCCCTTGCCACAGTGGTTAAAGTTCTGACTGTTGTTGTTATGTGCCATCGAGTCGCTTGTGACTCATACCTACCCTGTGTACAACAACCCTAAAACCTGCTCTATTGCTTACCAATTTTATTGTCTCCAACATGCCCATCCTCTTTACCCCAGTGACCAAATTAAACCACCTCTTCGAGGGTCCTCCCCTCCTGTGCTGTCCCTCCACCCTCTCAAGCATGACATCCCTCTCCAAGGTCTAGACCCTTCTTGCAACATGTCCAAAGTATGTCAGACGAAGCTTCAGAATCTTTGCCTCCAAGGAACAGCCTGGTTTCACCCTCTCGAGGACAAACTTGCTTGTTCTCCTAGCAGTCCATGTTCTATTCAAGATTCTTCTCCAGCACCACAGCTCAAAGGCATTTATTCTCCTTCTATTATCCCTAGTCACTGTCCAACTCTCTGATGCATAGCAAGCAATGGCAAAGACCATGGCCTGTATCAGATGCACCTTAGTCTCCAGTGTGACATTGTTGCTCCTCAGTACTTTGGAGAAGTCTCTGACAGCAGACTTTCCCAATGCAATTTGTCTTTAATTTCCTGGCTGCTGGTACCAAGAGTGTTGATTATAGAGCCAAGCAAATTGAAGCTGTCAACAATCTCAATTTCTTCACCATCTAGGGTCAGAATAGTTTTTTTGAAATACTAACAAAAATATTTCAATTGTCTGTGCCTTTTCCACCCTGCTGCATATTGCGCCTCTCTTACCCCGATGCTTGGGTCTTTGCAGGTCAAACACTTCCGGGCTTTGCAGGAGCAGGCGCGCACCTACTTAGATCTCCTTTGCTCCATGTGTGACTTTTCCAACTCCTCGGTGAAAGCCACAGCGAAAGACATCCAGCAAACAGAGCAAATGGTACAGGGGATTGGGAATCTTATTGACTATTGCTATTTTACTGTGCTGTCTGGGATGAAAATGATGTGTGAGGTCGAAAGATATTATTCCCTTGGGTTATTCATTTTATTTTATTTTTATTTTATTTATTTATATTTTATACTGGGTTACTTACAAAGTTCATTTACATTGTTTTCACACTAGATCTTTCCTTCCTATTTCCTTTACCCACACCTCCCTCCACCCGTTTCCTTTACCACCATCCTCCCCCCAGCACATCCTCATTCCTCTGCCCCCCGTTTCCCCCGCCTTAGATCCTCATACACATTCTACAATAATGGTCTTATACAGTATTTGTCCTTATGGGACTGAGTTAGTTCACTCAGCATAATGCTCTCCAGTCCCTCCCACATTAGGTAGTGATGTACAAAATCATTGCTCCTGCATGCTGCATAGCATTCCATTGTGTGAATGTACCATTTAATTATTGTTGGATATTTGGGCTGTTTCCATGTTCTTGCAATGGCAAATAATGCTGTTATGAACACTGGTGTACAGGTCTCCGGATGGTCAATAGACATATGAAGAAATGCTCAAAATCACTGAAGATAAGGGAGATGTAAATCAAAACCACAGTGAGATACCATCTCACTGCAGTAACAGTGGCAAAGTTTAACAGAACAGCAAATAATAAATGTTGGAGAGGATGTGGTGAGATAGGGACGCTTATACATTGTTGGTGGGATTGTACAATGGTACAACCACTTTGGAAGGCAATTTGGTGGTTCCTCAAAAAGCTGACCATAGAAATTCATATGCCCCAGCTATTCCACTGTTTGGAATATATCTCAGGTTATTCTTACTTTAATGATCCTATAGTGGTTGTACTCAATAAGTATTTGAATGTCAGCTGACTCAGAAAATGTGAACATAAGTTTATATCGGTACACTGAATTGCTAAATATTCAGGATCATTCAGCAGCATTCCACTGTAGAAACTTCTGTCTTCTTTCATTGTCCTCAATTATCATTCTCTCTTCCTTGTTTCTGATGTTTCTATGTGTTGTTTTTCTTCTTTGCATTTGCCATTCCCCACCCCCCCACCCCCGGTAGATTATATGTAATATAGCAGGAGTTTTTGACACTTGGCTTAAATCAAAATTGACAGACAAAATGCCTATTAATAATCCATTTGTCATTGAGCAAGACCTTACTAACTTATTGGTCATTTATGGTAATGTTACAGTCTGGTTGCTTAAGAAGGTTCTGAAGCTGTGCCTGGACCTGGTGGGGAAAGGGTTTTCTGTCTGTGTTATTGTTTGTTGCCTTCGACCCACGTCCAACTTATAAGATAAGAGATAGAAAGCTTACCCGCTCCTGCCTGGTCCTTACAGTATCAGCTGTGGCTGTACTAGCCAGATTATGCCCAAACTGTTAATCACTCGGTTGGTGATAAAAAGAACCCAGGGAGCTCTGGTGGCCTAGTGGCAAGAAGCTGCACTGCAATTCCAGAGGTACATGGTTCAAACCCACCAGATACCCTGCTGGAGAAGGAGGGGCAATCTCCTCCTGTACCAGTCAGATCTGATTTGACGGTACACACACACAAAATAATAAAAAGAAAAAGAAAAAAAAACCAGTATTTACCCCATAGAGACCCACTGAAAGCCTTTTCTGGTCACTGCCATGCCTAGTCCATGTGTCAGTGGACAGATGTGTTTGCCACGTTGTTGATGTTAGGTGTCATCAACATGACTATAACTCATGAACGACTCGTTACACAATAGGTTGAAACCCTGCCCTGTCCTGTGCCATAGAGTCTGTTACAGTGCTTAGCATTTAGGAATAATTATTAGCATAACTTTGATCTAATAATACATTTTAAGCTTTTTGGTGAGCTTCACAATTAAAATCATATGACAAAAGTCTTGGACTTTTTAAGTATTTAGGTAAAATTATAAAAGACATTTTACTGTTCCCGAAATGAGTAAATTCTTTGTGGATTTGTTGGAAGTGGGGGGACGTGTGTATGTGTGTGTACATGATGAACATATGTGGAAATAACAGTGAATCATGTTTATATGCCCAGGCATCTGGACAGGTGAGGGTGGCATCACTATTTCATCAACTATAAATGCGTTTGTTTATGGTTCTGAATTTTCCCACTTTCTTTTAAGATTGAGCAGAGACTGGCCCAAGCCCAGACCTTAACCCAGGGCTGGGAGGAGATCAAGCACATGAAGTCCGACCTGTGGATTTATCTCCAGGACGCTGATCAGCAGCTGCAGAATATGAAGAGAAGACATTCAGAACTGGAGCGAAATATTGCACAGAACATGGTTTCTCAGGTGAAGGTAAGAATGGGTTTGGTCCAGGACAGGGAACAGAGGTGAAGCTGGTAGAAAAGATGACGTGCATCCCAGATATTCACCAGGTCTCAGTCAACCCCCAGTCAATACTGTACCGGTTTAAGGAATAAGAAAGAATCAGAAGAACTGCCTTGTGGTGCCAGAGAAGGGAGGCGTCTGAGAGTAAGCTTTCCAGTGTTTTCTTGGAGCTCCACTTGGCAACTGTCATTCCAAGGACCTTCGTTCTATAGTGTGGGTTTCTGGACAGAAGCAGCTGCAGTTTGGCCAACAAAAGCAGAAGACTGTGCCACTGAACAAGTCTCTGATGTCTGACTCCCATCACAACTTTTCTGGAGGTGTAGGACTGCAAGCTTGTGATGAACGTAGAATGACAGTCTTCATAAGTACATTCAGTTGACTCAGTGAGGCACTCTATTTTCAGCAAGCTTCAGATCTGATTGTTTTCTATGATAGTGAGTCCTACATATTTTCTCCTGGAAAGTGACAAATGCAGACAAATAGCAAAGATAACAGTAGATGATTTTTCTCAAAAGTGTGAGGTATTAAATTTTTTAAAAAATGAAAATTAAAAATTAAAAAAATTTAAAAAATGAAAAGTATACTTAAAAGTAAGATACTTTTTCTATTGGAATCTCTAGAGATTCCATTATTATTTTACAAGTATCAGGGCTTTTAAAATGGTCATACTCTTCAAAGTAACAGATTAAGCAAAAGTACCATATTATAGATCTCCTTTGAGTCTTATATGCTTAAAAATAGGTGTTCACAAAGAATCATGGTGACTTTTAGATGCATCTTTGTCCTTGATGACGCATGATACATTCTTCAGTTTTATCATCCAAATACTTAGAAAATTTAGAGATAATCTATGCATGTCTTACTTTGCACTTATATGGAAAGGGGAGGGTTTCTTGCATGTTACTTATTATTGTTGTTGTCTTTTAGGATTTTGTTAAGAAATTAGAGTCCAAGCAGGCTTCGGTGACTGCGATCATAGAAAAGGTGGATGCATTGACCAAGAAGCAGGAGTCTCCTGAACACAAGGAGATCGGCCATTTACATGACCAGTGGTCAGATCTGTGCCTTCAGTCAAACCACCTGTGTTCACAAAGAGAAGAGGATCTTCAGAGAACGAGAGATTACCATGACCGCATGAGGGTGGTTGAAGGGTTCTTAGAGAAGTTTACGACGGACTGGGATAACTTGGCCAGGTAATGGACATTCTCCATGGCAAGAGATCACAAAAAACACGAAGCCAGACATTTCCTAATTTCTAGAAAGTTTTAAATGTCTGTTGTTATGTGCCGTCGAGTTGCTTGTGACTCATAGCGACCCTATGTACAACAGCCCTAAACGCTGCTCTGTCCTGTGCCAATCGCACCGTCTCTGACACACCCATCAGGATTACCCCAGTCACTGAATCAATCCACCTCATAGAGGGCCTTCCCCTCCTGCGCCATCCTTCCACCCTCCCAAGCATGATGTCCCTCTCTAAGGACTGGTCTCTCCTCACAACATGTCCAGAGTATGTTAGACGGAGCCTCAGAATCCTTGCCTCCAAGGAGCCGCCCGGTTTAACCCTTTCCAGGACAAATCTGTTTGTTTTCCTAGCAGTCCATGGTACCCTCTTTTAAGCTGGATCTTCCATTATAATTTGTTCTTGTTTTATGCCATCACGGAGAAACTGACCCATAGCTGACCCTCCAGAGGGTTTTCACAGGCAGTAATCACTCAGGAGGAGAGTGCCCATCTTTCTCCCACAGAGAAGCTGGTGGATTTGAACCACATACCTTTGGGATTGAATTGTTCGTGGTAGAGCTAGCCACTGTTAACCAGTAGCCATTTGCCTATGTGCTACTGAATTTTCAGTGGCTGATTTTTTTCTGAACTAGATCTTTCTCTCCAGGTGCCTGTGGGCAGACTCAAATCTCTGGCCTTTTTGTTTGCATCACAGAACATTATTAAGTGTTTGTACCCCTAAGGGACTCCAGATCAGAATTTAAAAAACAAAAACAAAAAACCAACAAAAACAGCCACACTCACCTTCATTGAATCAGTTCTGACTCGTTACTCATCCCAGTCTTCCCTGTCAGTCAGAGAGAGCAACTGGCGGATCCCAACTGCTGTTGTTTTGAGGAGCAGCTCAACACGTAAAACACTCCACCATCAAGGTTCCTGGGAACACTCATCAGAGTCCAGCAGTTCCACTCCCAGGTCTCCGCCCAGAAGTGAAGACAGGCACAGTTAGAAACCTGCACACCAGCTCTCACAGACACGGGGACTGAGGATTTTCTGCAATAGCAATAGTTCCTGTGCCATCAAGTCAGTTCCAGTTCATGACAAGTCTCCACCCAGTTTCTAAAGCTGTGAATATTTACAGGCAGGGACTTCCCATCTCTCTCCGTCAGAGCAGCTTGTGGGTTTGAACCACTAACCATTTAGTTAGACGCTCAGTACATGAAGTTTTACACTACCTAATACGCTCATGAAAACCTACTAGAAAGTCAGCTTGAATTTTCTAGGCCGCTCGGTCTTTATGGGAACAGATTGCCAGGTCTTTCTCCTGCAGAACCCTGGATGGGTTTGAATTGCCAGCTTTTATGGCCAGTACATGAGTGATTAACTATTGCACCCCCAGGACTCCTTGTATGTTATAGGTATAAACGTTTCCTAGGTTCCTGGTTGGCACAAAGAGGCCCTTAACAACTAGCCAAAAAGCTATGCATCCTAGGAGCCCAGCTACTGGTGCCTCAGAAGTTAGAGGTTAGCCCCAGCAATCAGCCTTCAATAGGTCCCAGCCTTGGAAACCTAATGAAGCAAGTCTGCTCCACACATATGAACCCTCCACAAGTTGGAATCCACTCAGCGATGACTCACAATAACATCCTCTTGCCTGATTTGTCTTCAGTATTTTTCCTTGACTCTCAGTAACACTTTACTCCTCTTTTAGTGCTTTTGGGTTCAGAGGGATGAACCCAGTCAAGTTGTTAAATGAAGAGATGAACCCAGTCAAGTTTTTAAATGAAGACATTCCCCTCACATTTAGGCAGTTGGCTTTGGTTGTTGAACACACTTTAAACTTCATGTGTCCAAACAGCATTCCTCCTCCTGACTCACAAACTGGCTTCTCCTGCTTCAGAATGGACTGTTTTGTACAGGAATGAGTGCATGTCTGCACTTTCTCATGGGTGCTGTAACCAGAGGAGTGAGAGTTCTTTGCATTTGACACACTTTTTTTTTTTAGGTTTAAATTTTGTTTTTTATTATTTAAAACAGACATGGCTGCAATTGTAATGTTTCATCAATTTACAGACATTTCTTTTTACACATAATTTATGATGATAATATTACTATATTATTATTTCTGCATGTTAAACTGTTTCTGTTGGCAAAACTGGAAAACTATCTGCAGAAGAATTAAACAAGATCCCCACCTCTCTCCATATACAAAAACCAACTCAAGGTGGATCATGGACCTAGGACTAAAACCAAGGATTATAAACTTCATTCAAGAAAAGCTTGGAAGAATTTTAGTAGTCCTAATCCACAACATAAAGAGTCTTCCAAGTATCCTGAAAAATTTACAACCAGGAGAAGATAAAATAGATGAATGGGACCTTCTAAGAATTAAATCCCTATGCACATCCAAAAACTTCTCCAACAAAAAACAAAAAATTAAAAAAAAAAAACCAAAAACTTCTCCAACAGGGTAAAAAGGGAAGCCACAGACTGGGAAAAAGTCTTTGGTAATGACATGTCAGATAAAGGACTTATAGCTAGAATTTATAAAATACTTGAGCATCACAACAAGACAAGGGTAAATAATCCAACAGGAAAATGGACATACATTTTTTAAAGATGCTGGGAACTGCACTGCTAATGCAAAGGCTGAACGTGTCCAGTGGTTTGAATCCACTCACAGCTCTGAGGGGGGTCAAACAGGTCAGTCTCCTCCTGTGTCATTTATGGCCTTGTGAACCTGCTGGAGGGTCCGCTGTGAGTCAGTTCTTACTGGATGGTGATGAGATGAGATGAGATGAGATAGTGATAAAGAAGAATTCTTTGCAAAACACACAGATTAGTAACTTGTACAGTCATTAGTATTTCCTTGCCAATTGTCCTGCCTAAGGCTTATTGTTCCTGGGAGCCTCTTGGCATAAGGAAACGTGTCATGAACCCTTCACTCATTAATTTAAGCATCATTTTCAAGGCTGGAGTTGATGACATTTAATGCTGACCCAAGTCATCTTAAGATCTTGTTGAAGTGCAAACTCGGCTTCATTGCCAAGAGGTAGAGGCAGCTCAGATACAGAGTCAGTTGTGATTGGAAGGCAAGATCAGCAGAGGAAAGCAGAGTAGATAAGAGGTATCAAGGCTACTGGATTTGATTCCACTTCTGGTATATAATACTGTTTTACACTTATCAGTTTTCTTCACACTTTTCAACCACACACACACACACACACACACTGGCATGGTCTCCTATGAATCCCGTACACTTGGAAACTTTTATTCATAAAGAAGTATGGTGATATGGTGAGTTTCATCCATGTGGGAATATATCCCATATTTATCATGGCATCTGTCAAAAATCCCTGAATTGAAGAACTAACAATTATCCTGTTTAAACCAAAAATATCTCCTTTAAGTGAAATGAGGAAGAATAACAACATGGTATAGCCTAGATACTAGTTTGCTCTTGGAGTCCGTGGGTAGCCCTAACAATTAAGCACTTGGCCGTGAACTAAAAGGTTGATAGTTCAAGTCTACCCACAGGTGCCTTGGGAGAAAGGCCTGGTAACCCATGGAAAACCCTGTGGAGTACAGTTGTTGTGTCACATGAGAGGTCACTCTGTGTGCCATGAGTTGGAGTCAATCTGATGGCAACTGATTCGGTTTCTCTCTCTTTTTTTAAAATTAATTTTAATGAAAGTTTACAGAGACTTAGAGTTTCCATTCATTCATTGTTGGACTTTTTTCTCTGTCCACCCCCTTTGCCCCCAATTAACTCTTCTCCTTGAAAAATAAAAGAAAAACTCTTTCATTGTTATACAATCCCTCCCCCCAAATCCACTCCACTATGCAGCCTTCATTCGGGACTCCTGTCATGACAATAATACCCAATCACATATCCCTTTTAAACAGTACTCTTCCTCATCTGGTCCAATGCAGTATACATCATTCCTCACCTTCTTTTCTGTCTTTTCTCAACCTCTATGTCAGTCCCATTTTATAACAGTGGCCCTATGCAAATGAATGGATAGAGAGGCTCTGGTATATTCACACAATGGAATACTATGCAGCATTGAAAAACAAGGAACTCATTAAAAGTGGATGACCCTGGAGGACATTATGCTGAGTGGAACATCTCAGTCACAGTTTCTCACTCTTGTTGCTGTTTCTAATTTGCTCTTGTGTTTTCTGATCGATGACCAGGGCCGATGCCGAGAGCACTACCGTCCACTTGGAGGCCCTGAAGCAGCTGGCCCTGGCCCTGCAGGAGAAGAAGCACGCCATGGAAGAGCTGAAGGCGCAGAAGCAGAAGATGACGGAGCACCTCAACCTCGATGACCGAGACTTAGTCAAAGAGCAGACGGGCCACTTGGAGCAGCGCTGGTTCCAGCTGGAGGACCTCGTGAAGAGGAAGATCCAGGTGTCGGTGACCAACCTGGAGGAGCTGAGCTCGGTGCAGGCCCGGTTCCGGGAGCTGATGGAGTGGGCGCAGGAGCAGCAGCCGGCCGTGGCCGAGGCCTTGAAGCAGAGTCCCCCGCCCGACGTGGCGCGCAAGCTCCTCACGGACCACCTGGCCATCTGCAGCGAGCTGGAGGCCAAGCAGGCCCTCCTCAAGTCGCTGCTGAAGGACGCCGACAGGGTCATGGTGGACCTGGGGCTCAACGAGCGCCAGCTGGTCCAGAAGGCGCTGTCCGAGGCGCAGCGGCACGTGAGCAGCCTCAGCGACCTGGTGGGCCAGCGACGCAAGTACTTGAACAAGGCGCTGGCGGAGAAAACCCAGTTCCTGCTGGCCGTGTTCCAGGCCATCAGCCAGATTCAGCAGCACGAGAGGAAGATCACGTTCCGGGAGCACATCGGCCTCCTCCCGGATGATGTGAGCAAGCAGGTGAAGACGTGCCGGAGCACGCAGGCCAGCCTCCGGACGTACCAGCACGAGGTGGCCGGGCTCTGGGCGCAGGGCCGCGAGCTGCTCAAGGCCGTGGGCGAGCACGACAAGGGCGAGGTGCTCGCCAAGCTGCAGGAGCTGCAGGCCGTGTACGACTCGGTGCTGCAGCGCTGTGGCCAGCGCCTGCACGAGCTGGAGAGGAGCGTGGTGCCCAGGAAGCACTTCAAGGAGGACTTCGACAAAGCGTGCCACTGGCTCAAACAGGCCGACATCGTGACCTTCCCCGAGGTCAACCTCATGAACGAGAGTGCAGAGCTGCACGCGCAGCTCGCCAAGTACCAGCACGTGCTCGAGCAGGCCCCCGAGTACGAGAGTCTGCTGGCCACGCTGCAGAGGAGTGGCCAGGCCATGCTGCCGTCACTCAACGAGGTGGACCACTCCTACCTCAGCGAGAAGCTGGCCGCGCTGCCCCAGCAGTTCAATGTCATCGTGGCCCTGGCCAAGGACAAGTTCTACAAGGTGCAGGAAGCCATCCTGGCACGCAAAGAGTACGCGTCCTTAATGGAGCTGACGGCCCAGTCTCTGGGTGACGCTGAAGAGCAGCTGGGGAAGATGAGCCGTGTGCCGGGTGCCCTGGTGGCCGAGGAGGCCCTGTCCCTTCGCGATGCCTGCAGGGCCCTCCTGGGTCAGGTGTTGAGCCTGGGGGAAGCAGTGGATGAACTGAATCAGAAGAAGGAAGGTTTCCAGAGCACCGGGCAGCCCTGGCAGCCCAATCGGATGCTGCACCTTGTCACCTTGTACCACAGGCTGAAGCGGCAAGCGGAGCAGCGGGTGAGCGTGCTAGAGGACATGGCCAGTGCCTACCAGGAGCACGAGAGGATGTGCCAACAGCTGGAGACACAGCTGGAAGCGGTGAGAAGGGACCAGGCCAAGGTGAACGAGGAGACACTTCCTGCAGAGGAGAAGCTCAAGATGTATCACTCCCTGGCGGGAAGTCTCCAGGATGCAGGGACCCTCCTGAACCGAGTCACCGTGCACCTCGAGGACCTGTGTCCCCACCTCGACCCCATGGCTTATGAGAAGGCCAAGCATCGGCTGGAGGCCTGGCGAGAGGAGCTGCGGGTGCTGACCGCTGCCCTCGGGGAGACCGTGGCGGAATGCGAGGCCCGCATGGTCCAGAGCATCGACTTCCAGTCGGAGATGAGCCGCTCACTGGACTGGCTGCGGAGGGTCAAGGCGGAGCTCAGTGGGCCCGTGTGCCTGGACCTGAGCCTCCAGGACATCCAGGAAGAGATCCGTAAGACCCAGATCCATCAGGAGGAGGTGCAGTCCAGCCTGAGGATCATGAGCGCCCTGAGCCGCAAGGAGAAGGAGAAGTGCGTCAGAGCTAAGGAGGTGATCCCCGCGGACCTGGAGCACACGCTGGCGGAGCTGGGCGAGCTGGACACCGACGTGCAGGAGGCCTTGCGTGCCAGGCAGGTGGGTGCAGAGGCTAGGCCCCGTGCCTCCCCACTCTACTTACTTGAGCGATCTTATGAGGCCTGGAGGGAATTGTTGCAATAGAATTACTTTCTTAAAAATTTACTTTTTTGGGGGAAAAGTGCAACAATGAATGAAGGGAAATTAAAAAAAAAAAAAGAATTTCCTTTTTTGACACTATATGGATGCCTCTTCCAGAGTGCTTTATGAGAATTAATTTTTTTCCATATTTAAACTCACATTAACAATCGTTGATGGTTGTGTCCCTAATGTGTTGTGCTAATAACTAAAAGGCTGCTCATCTCTGGCAGTTCAAATCCACCAGCTGCACCGAGGGAAAGAGTGGCAGTTTCCTCTCATTAAGATTCAGTCTTGGAAACCCTACAGAAGGTCGCTATGAGCCAGAATCAGCTCTGAGTTTTAGAGAAGTTCATGATATTGATTTCATGTGATTTCCATGTTGACTTTGTTGTATTTAAAATAAACTCATTGCTGTTGAATTGATTCCACTCCATGGGAATTCTTGGGAGGTAAAGTTACTGCGGTGGAATCAAACCAATGTGTAATTGACCCTTTAGAGGGTTTTTGTTGTTGCTAAGTGCCATAGAGTCATTGATGACCCATAGTGACCCTATAAACGAAAGTCTTGAACACAAAACTTTCATCTTTTCTCCAAGTTCATAGAGTTTCCAGAGGCAAGATTTTTTTTTGGGGGGGGGGAAGTGGATGCCACTTCTGCTTCGAAGCCTGTTTTATTTAGGAGATCCACAAAAACAGGCTTGGAAGCCTTGGGCCCAAAAGCCTTTTTTACATATCAGCTCACACCCTGTTGTGAGCAACAACCACACCCTAGTCTCAAGGCCAAACCAGAAAACAAACCTCAGCTGTTCTATTTATCTTTCCAGCCTGGAAATAGCCCCAGACTGGTGGCCATAAGTCCTTTTAAATATGAGACCAAATTCAATCAGCTCACACCCAGTCTTTCTCCCAAGGAGCAGTTGGTGGGTTCCAACCACTTACCTTTGGGTTGGCGACCCAACTCCTTACGCACTAAAGCAGCAGAGCTCCTGTAGAGAATCCCTGTTTTTACTGTGTACTGTCAAGTCGGAACCGACCCATAACTGTGTGGTGGGTTTTCAGAGGCAGTTAATTTGCACTGAAGGAGATTGTCCATCCTTCTCCTATGAAGCAGCTGGTGGATTTGAACCATGTGCCTTTGAAATTGCAGCAGAGCTTCTTACCACTAGGCCACCAGTGCTCCCTCAGGGCTTCCTAGGTCAGAATAAAACTGTCTCGTTCAGTTTCTAAATCTTTATAGGAGTCAATTGCTTCACTTTTTTCCCTGAAGGGCCTGTTTGCCACTGCTGACCCTTTTAGTTAACAGCTGAGCCCTTACCCACTCCACCCCAAGGCTTTGTTACTTCTACCGCAGTTACCCCAAAGCACAGTTGCTGTCTAGTCTTGGCAACTCCATCAGTGTCAGAGTAGAACTGTGCTCCACGTGGCTTTCAGTGGGAGGCTTTTCAGAAACTGATTGCCAGGTCTTACTTCTGAGTCCCTCTCAGTGATCTCAAACCTACGAGGTTTAATTAGTATCCTGATAGATAACTGTTTATGCTACCCAGGAGCTCCTACAGTACACTAAAATTCCAGTTACCTCACACCTTTAGAGAAATCATGCATCTTTATAGGATGTTTTAGGGAACTCTGGTGGCCTAGTGGTAAGAAGGTGTGCTACAATCCTGAAGGAATGCGGTTCAAATCCACCAGCTGCTCCACGAGAGAAAGATGTTGGACAGTCTCCTCCCATGTGATTTACTCCTCTTAAAAGGCACTAGAGGGTCAGGTATGGGTTGCTTCTGACTAGATAGCACACAGCAACAATACTGCATCTTAGAAGATTTTTTAAAAAACAATATGAATCCTGGGATTTCTAGCATTAGCCCTGGATGGTGAGTCCACAAATGGACAGGTGGATGACAAGCTTTATTGTCCTCAAGCAATTCATCTGTGTGGTATTTTCTACTGACTAGAAGGAGCTCGAGTGGTCTAGTACGTCACTTATCAGGCTACTAAGAGAAAGATCAACAGTTCAAATCCACCAGCTTCTCTAAAGGAAGGAGGCATAGATTCTGTCATGGGTGATTTCCTGCCTGAGAAACCCCCTGGAGTGTCACTGTGAGACCTCACAGACCCCAGGCCACTGGGTGGCTCCCTCTCTCCAAATTTTCTCAAGGAATGACACTTGGTTGTAGGTGGCGGTAGGTGCCATTGTATCAAGTTTGACTCTATAAACAACAAGGTGAACCCTATCCCATCCTGTGTCATCCTCATCATCTCCCCCCCCCCCCCATGAGACAGATAGACACAGCGACTGCAGCAATGGACACAAGTGAGTCAGGGGCGATGAGGATGGAACAAGACCAGAATATGGAAAATGGCCTTCATTCATGGGAACAAAAAGAAACGGAAACACATAAGCTTCCTAATTTGACTTCCTGCTTGTGTTTCCTCTATGGCTTCCAAGTGCTGTCCACCCAACAGTAAGGAGTTATAGTTTATGGGCAGGGAGTTCTGATTGATGTGATAAAAATATTTTGGAAATAGCGGTAGTTGTTGAACTACTCTGTGAATGCAATTAAGTCAATGAATTACAGGCTTAAAATTGACTAACATCTCAAATTTCATGTTATACCTACTTTTCCTCAATATATTTATTTCAAAATGAAAGGGTGGGGGAGAATCAAGAAGACATGGTAGGATGGTGAACAGAGGAGAAGCGTGATTCATTTTATTCCCTTAGCTAGTTGTTCTCTTCACGTTTGTCCTCAGTCTCTCAGAGACGAGGAGAGTTCAACCACTCAAGTAGGGAAAGGAGAACTTGCCTTCAGAGAGAGCTTTGAGGTAAAGCAGGCAGGCTGCCATGCTTTGTGATCTCAGGCAGTTACTTACTTCCTTTCCATCTTGCAAGAATATCTCCTTCATGAAGTATATACTCTTTAGCCCAGGGACTAGTGTAGAGGAAGTTCTCAATGAATCATTATTATCCTATCACTTTATTTCCTAAATTGTTTGTTTTTGTTATGTGCCATTGAATTGCTTGGAGACTCATAGCAACCCTAGGTACAACAGCTCTACCCTGTCCTGAGCCAGTCTCAATGACTCCGAGCTCCATCCCCCTTGCCCTAGCTACTGTATCAATCCACCTCATTGGGGTCTTCCTCTCCTGCACCATCCCGCCACCCTTCTGAGCATGAGGTCTTTCTCCAAGGATAGGTTCCTCCTGTCCACATGCCCAAAGTATGTAAGATGGAGCTTCAAAATCTTAGCCACCAAGGAGAAACTTGGTTCCAGTCTCTCCAAGACAGATCTGTTTGTTTTCTTAGGGGTCCATGGTATGGTCAAGACTCTTCTCCAGCACCACAACTCAAAGGCATCAATATTTCTTCTGTCATCCTTAGTCATTGTTCAACAACCTGATGCATCGCAAGTAATAGCGAAGACCATGGCTTGGATCAGGCTCACATTGGTCTCTAGATCGACACTGTTGTTTTACAGTACACTGGAAAGTTCCCTGACAGCACATTTACCTAATGCAAACCATCTTTTAATTTCCTGACTGCTGGTGTCAAAAGTGTTGATTGTGGAGCTGAGCAAGCTGTGCCTGTGAACAGCCTTAGTCTCGTCTCCATCCATCATGGTTCTGCCAATTGGCCTAGTGGTGAGAATCTTTGTTTTCTTGATGTTGAGCTTCAATCCATACTGGAGACAACAGTCTTTGACTTTCTGCAGCAAGCACTCCAGGTCCTCCTCAGTTTCAGCAAGCAAGGTTGTTTCATCTGCATAATGTAGGTTGTTGATGTATCTTCCTCCAACCCTAATGCCACATTCCTTTTCATAAAGCCCAGCCTCCTGAATGGTCTGTTCTGCATAGAAATTGAAAAGGTATGGAGACAGGACGATCCCCTGAAACACTCCTTTCCTGATTTTGAACCATGCAGTATTTCCTTGTTCTGTTCCGAAGACTGCATCTTGGTCCAAGTATAGGTTTCACATAAGCACAATCAAGTTAAGAAGGTGAAATAGTAAATTGAAATTTATTAGAAAGTTACATCCTCAAAGAGATGGACCTCCATCTTCGAAAGGAAACATGGGGAGGAGGCAGCAAGCTATTGAGGTGCAGTTCTGTTTATGGCCTCCTTCTCTGAGTGGGCCTTGGGGCTGGAGTCTGGGCCAAAGAGACAATGCTAGGGAGAGTTCAAAGTTTATTAAGAGGTTCTCATTTTGGTCCCTATTTTCTGATATAATTTGTGTGCTCCAAGTGTCCACTTCTTCTGACAAAGCACCAATCCCATGCATGTCAATATTGGCTCCCTGGTTGTGATACTTTAATTTTCCAAACATAAACTTTGCCTCTTTTCTTGGTACTAATGCTAACAATGGGATCCAACAGCAACAACACAACTGTTTTTCCAAGATAGAGATGTAATTAAGGAACAATATCATTAATATCACATGCAATCAAGAGTCTGCTAACAATAATCCAAATATGATTGGAACAGCACATCAGCAGAAAACTACCAGATGTGCAAGGCTGGATTTAGAAGAGGCCGTGGCACTAGGGATATTATAGCTTATGTTAAATGAATCTTGGCTGAAAACAGAGAGTACCAGAGCAATGCCTGTCTGTGTTTCATTGATGATTCAAAGAGTTTTGATTGTGTGGATCACAGCAAACTGTGACTGATTCTGAATAGAATGGGAATCCCAGAACATTTGATTGTGCTTATGCAAAAACCTATCCTTGGACCAGGAAGCAGTCTTCAGAACAGAGCAAGAAAACAACGCTTGGTTCAAAATTGGGAAGATTGTACGCAAGGGATGCGTCCTGGCTCCATGTCTTTTCAATCTATGTGCAAAACAGATCATCTTGGAGGCTGGGCTCTATGAAGAGGAATGTGGCAATAGGATTGGAGAAAGATTCATCAACAACCTGTTTTAAACAGATGACACAACCCTGCTTGCTGAAACTGAGGAGGACCTGAGGCACTTGCTGAAGAAGGTCAAAGATTGCAACCTTCAATATAGACTGAAGCTCAATATCAAGAAAACAAAGATTCTCACCACTGGTCTATTTGGCAGCATCATGAATATGGTGAAGAGATTGAGGTTGCTAACAGCTTCAATTTGCTTATCTCCACAATCAACACTCTTGGAATCAAAAGACAAATTGCATTGGGAAAATCTGCTGTCAACAACCTTTCCTGAGTACTAAAGAGCAACGATGTCAGTCTAGAGACTAAGGTGTGCTGGATCCAGGTCATTGTCTTCGTGATTACTTGCTGTGCATCAGAAAGCTTGACAGTGACTAGAGATGACAGAAGGATTGATGCCTTTGAATTTCAGTGCTGGAGTATTAAATATGCGATGGACTGCTAAGAGAACAAACAGGTTCATCCTGAAGACAGTGAAACTAGGCTGCTCCTTGGAGGCAAGGATTCTGAAACTTTGACGTACCTTGGGCATGTTGCAAGGAGGCACCAGTCCTAGGAGAGAGAGAACACTCTTAGGAGGGTGGAGGGACAGCATGAGAAAGGAAGACCCTCAATAAGATGGATTGATTCAGTGACTGGAATAATGGGGGTAAATGTGTCAGAGATAATAAGGTGTAACCTCAGGATAGAGCAAGATTCAGAGCTGTTGTCCATAGGGTTGTAATAAGTCACAAGTGACTCGATGGCACATAGCAACAACATTAGATAGATCCGAAAATACGAACAGAAGTGATCTGGAATTTTCTTCTTTAAAAATAGATGTCATGCAAACTTCCTCTGTATTGACTTGATGAGTCTGGAAGCAGCATCTCCAGTCTTAACAGTGTCATTTGTGCTGTCATTTGGACTTCGTAGTGATATGAGTTGTCTTGGCACAAATAACTGAAGGTGGTGGATCCTAGAGACTTTCTAATCTGTCATAGACACTCTGTCATCCTCTTTTTTTCCTTATTCAGTGCTCATCAGTTGTGAGCTATGTCTTTGTACCTGAACACTTGTACACTCATAGCCAGTCACTTACAGGGTCTCCTGTCCTCCTGAGTTTGAAAGCGCTTCCTCACGTAGAGAAAACCTCGATGGCACAGTGGTTAAAGGGCTTAGCTGCTAATGGAAAGCATGGTGGGGGATTCGAACACCCCAGGTACTTCAAAGGAGAGACACAGAGCAGTGGAGGGTGGAGCAACCGCGCAGGAGAGAGAGACCCCAGATGAGATGGATTAACATAGTAACTGGGGCAGTGGGGCATGGGTGTGTCAGGATTAGTGAGACTGGCTCAGGACAGGGCAGGGTTCAGAGCTGCTGTACATAGGGTCGCTAAGGCTCACAAATGACTCGATGGTACATAACCAAACCAACAATGTGCTCAAATAATTTTTTTTATTTATTCTATTTTTTTGTTGGAGAGAAAAATTATTTATTCTATTTTTTTTTTTGCTGGAGAGAAAAAATATTTAATGTTTGTAAAGATTACACACATTTCTGTTTAACTTCTTCCTTATTACTCCTTTATTTGAAATGTAATTGTTATCATAATAAATGTTACATAAAGTAATAGTAACTTAAGAAGGGCAACAAGAAAAGAGAATTCCTGAATGCACATGAGACAAGACAATTACATGTAATTCTTTACTTTATACATACTCACGTGTCTGAGGACTGGAACAGAAATGAAAAACATCCAACTCTTCACTATATAAACATTGCCATGGGGTGTTGACTTCATTTACCAGTTTGCTGTTGTTGCCATTGTTTTCCAGGCCACCCTGACTGAAGTGTACGCTCAGTGTCAGCGGTATTACCAAGTGCATCAAGCGGCTGATGACTGGCTTCAAGACGCTCAGGAGATGCTCCAGCCTGCGGGCAACGGCATGGACGTGGAGAGCGCCGAGGAAAACCTACAGAGCCACGTGGAGTTTTTCAGCACACAGGGTCAGTTTGACAGCGACCTGCAGGCACTTCAAAGCCTGGTGGCCAGCCTCAGCCCGCTCATCAAGGCCACAGGGAAGGAGGAGATGGCGCAGAAGTTGGCTTCCCTAGAAGACAGGAGCAAGAGGGTAACTCAGGAATCCCAGGTCCAGCAAGAGCTGCTGCAGAGGTAAGAGCTCCCGCAGAGGTACCGCAGTGCTGGTTTTATACTTTCTACATCACGAAACAAGTCAATGATATGTATTAGCGTATTCAATGATACATACTAGTGTATTCATTTTCTATTGCTCTAGTAACAAATCCATGAACTTTTGGCTTACTACAAGTTTCCTTTCTCACACTTCTGGAAGCCAGAATTTCCAAATGATGGTGCGGACAGAGCCATGCTCCTTCTGAGGGCTCTAGGGAAGAAGGTGTCCCACCACATTCTCTTAGCTTCCGGTGTTGCTGGTGGTAACACTTGACATTCATTGACTTCTAGCTGTTTCTGTCCACCCTGTGACTTTGTCATCAGATGACACTCTCCTTCTGTGTCTATATTTGTGGCTCCTCTTCTTAAAAGGACATGAGTCATGTTGAATTTAGGTCTATCCTAACAACTTCACCTTAAGTTGATTGACATGCAAAGATCTTATGTCCAGGTAAGGTCAAATTCTCAAGTACCAAGGCTGGGGAATTCTTTGAGGGATGATAAAATTCAGCTCTACAAAAATTGGCGCACGAGTTCACACTCTTCTCTCTCTGGGTCAATAGACAATATTGGCGTCAGAACGCTACATGGAGATGTGGGATTGGGTATCATTTAATCTCACTGGACTTGATTTCTTTTGGACTTTTCAAGATGTGCAGCCCAATGGCAGGATTACCAGAAGGCACGGGGAGAGGTGATTGACCTGATGAATGAAGCCGAGAAGCAATTGTCTGAATTTTCTTTACTGAAGACTTCTTCCAATCACGAAGCAGAAGAAAAACTATCAGAACACAAGGTCTGTGGTTTTTTGTGTTTTCCTGTAGTTTCTTTAGTTTTGAATGATCATAAAATGCTATTTAAAGATCATTTTAATGGGTTTTTTAGGTGTGAAGGTTTCATTGGGAGATCATTAAATCTTCTTTGCTATATAGATTTCTTTTTTTTTACTCTTTAATTATCATTGATTTTAATGAAAATTTACAGAGACTTTGGATTTCCATTCATTCATTGTTCCACTTTTCTCCCTGCCCACCCTTCCCACCTACCCCAGTTCATGTTTCTCTTTGAAAAGTAAAAGAAAAATTCTTTCATTGTTATACATTCCCTCCCCCAAGTGCACGCCACTATGCAGCCTTCATTCTTGACTCCTGTCATGACAACAATACCTAATCACACAATCTTTTTAAACAGTTCTCTCCCTCATCTGCTTCATTGCAGTATACATTATTTATGCCATCTTTCTCAGTCTCCTTCCAACCCCAGTGTCAGTCCCATTTTACAAGAGTGGCACTATGCAGTATTTGTCCTTTTGTGACTGAGATATTTCACTCAGCTTAATGTCCTCCAGGGTCACCCATTTTGAATAATATTGCATGAGTTCCTTGTTTTTCAAAGCAGTGTAATATTCCATTTTGTGAATATACCACAGCTTCTCCATCCATTCATTTGTTGATAGGCACTTAGGTTGTTTCCAACTCTTTGCTATTGTGAACAAAGCTGCAATAAGCATGGGTGCACATGTATCTACTTAGGTGGCAGTTATGGTTTCTTTAGGATATATTCCCAGTAGTGGAATTGCTGGGTCAAATGGTATCTCTATTTGCAACTTTTTGAGAAAGCGCCATACTGCCTTCCGCAGGGGTTGCACCATTTTACACTCCCACCAACAGTGAATAAGGGTTCCAGGTTCTCCACAACCTCATCAGCATTTGTTGTTTGCTATTCTGTTAAATTTTGCTATTCATACTGGGGTGAGATGATATTTCATAGTTGTTTTGATTTACATCTCTCTTAGAGCTAGGGTTTTAAACATTTCTTCATGTGTTTGTTTGCCATCTGAATGGCTTCTTTGGTGAAGTGTCTGCTCATATCCTGTGCCCATTTTTCAAATGGATTGTTTATCTTGTTGTGGTATCCTATATAGATTTCTTAAATACAAGAAGGACACATTTAACCACCTGTCCGAGTACTCTTAAATTATTAGATATTGTTAGCCTTTCATGTCTCCTAGGGATGTCTGGTGGCATGGTCTGTAGAGGGTTGCACTGCCAACCACCTGAAGGCCATGCTGCCTCTTTTGAGGTTCAAATCCACCAGCTGCTTTGAGGCAGAACGATGTACATCTCCTCCCTTGTGATTTAAACAAATCTGTTAAAAACAAACTTGCCGGACGGTCAGCTGTGAGTCAGTTCTAACTCAAGAGCAATGAGTTATTTAGTTTTATGACTCTTTGTTGGACATCCTGCTTGGAATGATTGACATACAATTCAGGAGAGGAAGACCCCGAGTGAGATAGATTGATATAGTTACTGGGGCAATGGGGCTTGGTGTGTTGGAAATAGTGAGACTGGCTCAGGACAGGAAAGGGTTCAGAGCTGCGGTACATAGGGTCGCTATGCATTGCAGGTGATTCAGTGGCACATAACAACAATAACATACTATGACAGGTTTGGAAGCAGGAGTGGCATCAACTTCCTAAATAATATGCCTCCAGAAATTCTATGAACTTTGATAAATGTCGATAGTTACAGAAAGGCTTCAGGCCTTTTGTTCATAGGATCGCTATGCATCATGCTCGACTCAAAGGCAATCAACAACAACAACATTGGAAAAAAAATGTTTAAATGTTTATTAAGTGCAGAGAAACTGACTTCTGATAAACTTACAGTTAGTGAATTTCAAGAAGTATTTTCTGTTGGTGGCTTAAGTATATCCAGAGAATATTCAGTCGTTAATAGCTGTGCCTTCCTCCTTCATACCAGCTTATTAGGAAGAATGCAACATACTCAAATATTGAATTCATTTTTACACATGCTTTAAAGATGCCAATTTATGATTAAGGTGTAACTGACTGAAACCTTAGTATTTTCACATGTTTCCTATGCATGTGATTTGGGACAATAAATAAGGAAGACCAAAGAAGAACTAGTGTCTTTGAATGGTGGTGAAGAATATTGAATCTACCAGGGACTAACAAACACACGTCTCCTTAGAAGAAGTGGAGCCAGGGTGCTCCTGGGAGGCAAGGACGGCGAAGCTCTGCCTCTCATACTGTGGGCATGTAATCAGGTGACATCGAGCTTGGGAGAAGTCATGGTGGGAAAAGTAGAGAGGTATTGAAGGAGAGGAACGCCATGTGTGAGACAGATGGACACAGTGACTTCAACAGTGGGCCTCAGCACGGCAGAGATTGTGAGAAAGGGCCAGGCAAGCCTTTCGATCTGCCGTTCAGAGTCTCTGAGTCAGGTTCAACCTGATGGCGTCTGATAACAGCAATGCAGCTTTAAAAAAACAGGGCAAAGTCATTGCAGTAACAATTAAACTTTTTCATTGGCAAATAACAGATTATTTACCTTAACCTTAAAAAAATAAAAACAAACCAAAACACACCAAAGACCCTCAACAAGATGAACCGACACAGCCATTATAATAATGGGCTCCAACACAGCCAGCGTTGTGGGGACGGCATTGACCTTGGTCAACATTCTTTTCTGTGTATGTTGGACAATTGTTAGTTGGAACTGACCTCTGGGCACCTAACATTATCAACCTCCTCATCCCCTGATTTAAGTGTAAATGTAAAAGCAAGCTTTACTATATTGTTGCTGCTGCTGTTAGGTGACGTCCAGCTAAGACTCCTGTCAGCTCTATGAACAGCAGACTTGAGCCTCGCCCCGCAACATCCTCAAAATTAGCACCACACTTCTGTCCATTTGTACAATCATTGTGTTAGTCCATCGCATTGAGTGGCTTCCTGTTTCTCTCATCCTTGACCTTTCTGTAGGAATCTTTGCTTTTTGGAAATATTTTGGGGCTTTGGTAAAATCTATAGTACTTATTCCATGTCTCACTCACATCCTGTTTGTTTTCCACTCCCAGAGTTTAGTGTCAGTAGTCAACTCTTTCCAGGAGAAAATTGTGGCCCTGGAGGAAAAGGCCTCCCCACTGGAAAAAAATGGAAATGAAGCGAGCAGAGCCACAGTTAGCCGGTTCACCACTACCGTGTGGCAGCGCTGGACACGGCTCCATGCTGTGGTCCAGGACCAGCAGAAGATTTTGGAAGATGCAGTTGATGAGTGGAAGAGCTTTACCAATAAGGTAATTTCTGGTACTAATGGAATGGGCCTTTTTTTCTCCTGTTATGTTGGAGAAAGGATGTCATGCTTGGGAGCATGGAGGGACAGCACAGGAAAGGAAGACTCTCAATGAGATGGATTGATTCAGTGACTGGGTTAATGGGGGTAGGTGTGGTAGAGACAATATGATTGGCACAGGATAGAGCAGGGCTTAGGAATGTTGTACAAGGGTCGCTATGAGTCTCAGGCAATTCGATGGCACATAACAACAATAACATGTTATATTTTATCAAGCAATATTCTCTAATTTTTCCCCATCTTTATTTATTTTTCATATAGTCATTTGAGTGAAGATTTACAAACTAAATTAGTTTTTCCTTCAATTAATTCATATGTATAGTATTCAATAACATTCCATGCAGTAGCTACAATGCAGTAGCACTTTGCCCACTCCCTTCCTATGATTCTGATTTCCACTAATCCTTCTATGCCTCACTGTGAGTCAGAGGTTGTATGTATAAAGGCAGATACTTGCATGTATCAGCTTGCCATCAACTAATAATAACAGGACCAAACCTTTATTTCTGTGAAGTTATGTTGTAATTCATTTGAGCATTTTCAATGCTTTACTTTGAAATTAAGCAACAACAAACTTTTATATACATAAAAAAAAACCACACCAACAAAACAATACCAAACACCAAAACAACCAGCGAATGTAAGGACATGGCTCTTTTTTATTATTATTATTATTATTATTATTATTATTATTATTATTATTACATTTTATTCGTTTTAATGA